CACAAGTGGAGACAATCGAATGTATTTGAATACAAAATTACAGAATATCTTAGTGAAATCTGAGAACCATTCAGTAAATAGTTTATTTGCAAAATGCCAACCAATTGTCTTATACTTTATTGATCCTTTATTTCCACACCAATCATTCTCTATTCTTATTCTCTTCGATCTTCGTAACCTTCTACGTTCAGGCATTTCACTTTTGATTGATCATATATACTACTTATATCTGTCGACATCAGTAGCACACCACAGTACTATTAGTACTTCCTTTAGTCGAGTGTTTGTTGGAAAGACCATATACTTTGTTTTTATTTGTTGTTTTCAATTTCGTGACGTACCAAACCAAAAATGCAATTTTGTTATTTTAGCAAATACAAGATATATAAATATATAAGTACACGGACGCTTTGTTCCCATCTATAATCCAGGTTAAAGATCGTTTTGGTCGAGTAACTTGTCCAATTCTACGTAAATTCACTTGTCCATTATGCGGTGCTACTAAAGATCGTGCTCATACAATAAGATATTGTCCGAGATTATTATTAGGAAATAATAATCGAAATGGTAACAGTAGTGGTGGACCCACTTGTCCTATGATTGAAGCTGGTTTGTTGGAACCGATACAGTTCTCTACATCGAATTCAATTTAAGAATGAAATCTACTTGATAATAAAAGAACAATGCAAATAAAATATTTTCCAAACGATTTATGCAACTGATGATGATATATTGACTATTATTATTATTGTTATTATTATCATCATAAATCAATGCTAATAAATTATTACATGATCAGTTTATAATGGGAATAGGCTCTCTTTCTGCTTAGTCAGCATGATTCTCTGTGAATCAGAGTCTAATGGTTTATTTCTACCTTTTAAAAGAAGAATGTATGTCTAGTAAGTTAACATCCAAGTTAAATGCAACCTCCTTGGATTACCTTAACTTATAAGGTTCAAGGTTCTGTGTAAATTTGCCAGATCACTATCATAAGGTAAAAGTATTTAGTGTTTTAGTGTTGATGATTTGTAGAATATTTGATTGGTTTTAGTTTATTGGTTTACATAAACGACCTACGGCCCACCCACAAACCAACAGTGTTGTAAGCACACCATGATGTGAAGACACATTCTTACTCGAAGGTCGTAATGCAGTCAATAATGAAGTTGGATGAACTGGTTTATTGCACAACTCTTTGATTTCCTGAGGAACTAATGGATGTCTTCGCTTAACATAAATATAACTTCCTACATAAACCTGTTCCAACCTGATACCAGTCCCGGAGTACTTACAAAATGCTGTATGCAAGAAGCAACTGCTGTTTATTTTGAACTCGATTTTACTGTTCTGAAACATTCTCATACACTTCATTTTGTGTATCAAAAGGAAATCGAATGTATCACGTTACATGAATGTTTGTCGCTTCACAGAAACTAGCGAAACCAATTACGTGTATGGTGGGGTTCTTGCATTTAACTGCTCATCTGCGAATTTTCGCTTTATGTCTTGCGATAAATGTTTTATTCGCAATTTCTAAAAACCACATACACGCTTGCAATGTGATTCCTTGAACTTATATTCACATTATTGTGTATTATCCAGGCATATTGCTTAGGACCTAGATCAATCATTCACAACGTAAAGCCTGGTACGTATGTGCATCGGTTCAATTCGCCGCACTCATTGAGTACACCGAGGTGAAATTTTCGGGCTAAATCCCAGAGTAGTGGAGGTAGTAACAGTGTCAGTGGTAATACAAAATGTTAGGCATCAGAAATATGATTCGCTAGGAGAATATATATTAGTGAAAGAAAAACGTCTGTGAGGAATTAAGAGTCTCGGAGTTTGTGGAAAGACAAAGTGGAAACATCTGCTCCGTTGCAAACGATGTTGAGCCGTGCCATTCAAATTCTAACAATTTGGTTACGATAATCACTCTAACACTAACCAGCTGCTCTGCACCTATTAACATGGCTCAGTCCAATTGTCAGTAATTCTATGGACTGATGCCATGTTTGGGTTTGGCCTCCTCTGTCTTCTTACAGCGTACTTCTACACCAGAAAACATTTCCCGTCGAGGTAGGTGGTGGTTTAACATACGTAACACATGTTCCAATCACCTCAGTTGATGACTTACAACCTCATCAATCGGATTTCCCATCTTACCTAATACCCTACTCCCAGCCCAGACATTTTATACTCCGTGGTGACGAAATACAAGCAATGCTTCGAATATATCTATGATCGCATACCAGTAACCTACGGATATTCTCTACTCTTGATGGCTGTTTTACATTCATAAAGTACGACGGAGCGAACTGCTACGCAATGGACTTTTCCTTTGGTTAGGAGACGGGTATCTCGCCTACACCAAAAGTAACTGAAGTTAAGCATAAGCCAGTCGAGCGTTTAAGATGTGTACCGATATTTCGTCTGACGTCAGAACTCATGAGACTCCCAAGATAAGTGAAGCGGTTGGTAAACACAACTACTTCGGCAGATGATCTAATCTGAGACTTTCCTTACTCCAGATACCAAATTTAGAACCTTGAAGTCCATGTCTCTAGTTGTCTAAATATATCTTCCACACAACTGTAGGAATTTCGCAGTGTTCGTGATACTGGTTATACATTCTTGTGTGTACGACTAACATAATTCATTGTCTTTATGTTCTTATCAGTTTCATTTCTTGATTAAGAACCCGTACTTGTTGCCGCTGAACACTATCTACTTCCTAACCTTCAATAAAGATCTTACACATTTGTTTGCTTGTGTTAGATTCTTTAGTTTACAAGCGAAAAAAAAACAATTATAATATATTACAATATAAATGTTAGGAGGTAAATTAAACATTTGGATCTGTATCCTCGTTATGTTATCGTTAATTTAAAAATAGTCGTTTATAAGTGTCACGAAGATATCATCATTATTTGTTGTTCAGGATCCGTTTGGCGACTCCAAAATAATACTATCATTGGTCTCTTGAGGCTTTTTACGTACCGCTACTTATCCAATATAAAAAGCACAGTCCAGACAGCTAAGACATGAAGTTTTTATTTATCTTGAAAATAAAATGTAGTATACGTAATGCGGTAAAGGAAACGATTGGGTTCATCAGACAAACATACCTGCCTTTAAGGCGACATGTGGTAAATAACGCAACCACAATTGCGTGACAGTCATTCCTACCTATCGTGGACTAAACAAAGCAATACGTTTCTTTAGGTCCTACCATGTCAGTTGAAGGACGGTAAGATTTAAAGTAGTAAGTTAAGGTTCGAAGGCGAAGTTGTACTGCCGACTGTGTAAGGGTGTGGAAGCAGTAAGATGAAAGCTTTATGACTAAATCATCCAGCTCAGAGAACAAGACTCCGAAATTATCCACCTTAGCTACAAATCTTCACCATCTCAAAATCATGAGCGTAAGGAGTTTCCCTCAGACAACCAGCATAGCAGCGATGCTGCCTTACAATGGAATGAATGGGTTAAGAAAGGTGGACTCTAGAAATGTGACACCTCATCTTACCCTATGGACTTTCGTTTGATGGTAAGGAAAACTGAAGTGGGGAGGTAACATTAATGAATTCCCATAAAAAGCCGGGCGCTTAGTCCTCGTCTGATCGTTCTGAATTTTGCTCTGACCTCCCTCAACTTAATTCATTTATTCAAGCTATATCGTTTGTATGTGGAAAAGTAATACTGTGTAGCTGCCAAATCTTAAGTTGAACAAGATTTGAGCTTGTGACTTATTGAGAAGCTGAGCATCGGACCGAAAAATGTGGCTCAGGGTTACGTTTTGTTATACGAAGCAATTTCTCGTAATATTATATCCTTACTCGGTCTAATACGATGTATTTGGATCGACGATCCTAGAATGATCTGTTCATTTACCATATTGACACTAATGCTTTCAATAAGAAGTATATTTCCTAAGTAATGCTTATTGATCACTGTAATTTCACGCGTAGCGATTCCCTTCACACAACGTAAGTCAGAGACTATCTTCCTAATTACTGATTATGACAATTAAGTTTGTTTTTCATTACAACCAACATTAGGTACTTTAGAAACTTCAAACAAACAGACAGAACGTACTTGACTAATTTAATTTTATAAAAACACGGGAAACATTTGTATCATTATGAGGTATTAACATACGAAATTTTTATGCATGTCAAACATGTGTATAAGGAAAAAGACTACCGGATAACTCGTACTCTTTAGTTTGGAAACGATTACACATGAAAGGGACAGGAAAAGTGGGTAACACAAAATGGTGATGACTGTACAGCGATAAAGCTAATGGCAAATTTATCGATTATTTACGACTATCTCCCAGTAACAGTGGTAGTAATTATAGTGGAGTTACTGGTGGTCGTGGTCAAATATTTATGAATAAAGGAATATAAACGTGAGATGAATGCAGGACATGATTGACGTTTTTTCATGAAACCACTCAGTAACATGTAATCAAGATACATTCGCAAAGCGATTGACAACAAGAAATGAATGGATGGGATGAGAGAAATAATTACAAAGACAGTGGAGTGAAAAAAGTGCTTTATAGTGATTACGATTATTAACAAGTTCTATAGACATGTACAGAGAATGTTTATGTACTAAATAGACAAATGTATGTAGTCCCCTCTGGAATAATAAAGCGTGAAATTAATAGTAGTTCTGAAGGACAATAAAATCTGCACAAAGAAGTTTAGGGATCGTTTGAGAGATTCAACAAGATCAGAATAATATGGTAAGGTGTACATTAGAAGTAGTTGTGTTTATAAATAAACACAATATTTAACAATAGCTGCATATACACTCCAATAATAGAGGAATGAATAAAGCATGAGAAAATTACAAAATGTAAGAAATTAGAGGGAAAGGAGAATTTATTCGGAGTGACTGAATACATGAGAGATAAAAAGTGGTATACAATGATCTTGTCGACAACAATAATTTTAAAAACACGTTTGGCTGCCTTTATTACAACTAGATTATTCTTTATTAAGGAAATTTCTGATATAATTGTCAACTTCTTCACCGTCGCTCAGTGGTTCAGTGAAGCTCTACAGTAGAAACAAAATCGTATATATGTGAAGTTGGACATAAACGGCATCAGTTCAGAAATGTTTTGTCAGGAATATATCATGGTAAACTAGTTTTAAAATCACCATTGCTTAGCGACCTGTTAAGTAACAAATCGGGACACCAGGTTTTAAGTAAAATGCTATGGTATTAAGTATCAGGATCAAGATCGTCGTTGCCTGCAGTATTAGATGATCGTGGCAAAATCGTTGGAGTTGGGAACGTGGTTCTGGAATGAACCTGAATATTATAAGTTTGGTCATGGATTCATGATCTAGCACCACAACAGGAAGAAGCAAATAGCCAATGCTTTCTGGTTTTCACTATTATTTAGACCATTTTATTTATTTATTTGAATAAATAAATATTTGTACAAGGGGGCATCAGTCAGTAACAACGTAGAACTTCGTATGTACATCGGCTCGAGTTGCCACACCACATTAGCACAGAGATGCAGTTGTCGATTCAAATCCCGTAGTGGTAGAGGTAATAAGAGTATAAGCAGTAATCGGGAAGATTAGGGTTTGGAGATGTTATTTAAAGAGTATAATCCAGTGAAATAAATTTGGAAAGAGGAAAAAAGGGACATGAAGGATTCAGAAGATTAGAATTTGGGAGAACACAGAGAGTGGATGCACCTGCGCCATTGCAAACGATTTTGAGCCATGTCATTCAGGGTCTCTAACCATCGGTTGCTATCATCTCGCGGTCCCCAACCAGGTAGTCTACACCTACCAACATGACTCAGTCCACTTGTCAGTGACTTCATGGACTTGTGCCATGTTTTGGTTTGGCCGCCCCTAGCTTTCTTCCAACCTACTCCTATACCACTGAACATAGCACGTCGAGGCAGTCGGTCGTTGGGCATACGTAACACGTGTCCCAGCCATCTCAACTGATGAAGTTTCACTACTTCATCAATTGATTTGCCATCCTTACCTAGTACCCGTTTCCTAACAACTGTTACTTACTCGATGGTCCCATGATATACGAGCAATATTTCGAAGACACCTATGATCAAATACTAGTAACCTACGAATATCCTCTACTCTTACCGGCCATGTTTCACTGCCATAAAGTAGGACGGAACGAACTGCTGCGCAGTAAACCGTCCTTTGGTTGATAGACGGATATCTCGCCTACGCCATAAATGACGCAAGTTGGCAAAAGCTAGTCGAGCCTTCTGTATCCGTGCTGAGATTTCGTCACACACCAACCACAAGGGCTGATGAGACTTCCAAGATAAGTGAAGCGGTCGACACACTCAACTACTTCACTCCCTATCACTAGTTCGGGTGTCGATGTAACCCAATCCTGAAGCAACATTTTGCATTTCGAGGGGGAGAATCGCATCCCGAACATGCTTGCATTGTTGCTTAGAGTGGTCAGAAGACTCTGCATTTTGTCAGCGTCTTCACCAAATAAAACTATGTCATCAGCATATTCTAAGTCAACAAGTGAACCTCCCGGTAGAAGTTCAACCCCTGGAAATTTAGATGAGGAGAGTGTTATCTCTAAAAGTACGTCAGACAAAGTTGAACAAGAATGGGGAGAGTGGACAGCCCTGACGAACACCACTTGAGGTAATCAATTCTGATGACAGTTCGCCATAAGCTCTCACTCTACCAGTTGTGTTCGAGTAGAGAGCCTTTATAAGGTTAATGTACTTCTTTGGTACTCCTTTCAGTGACAAACACTGCCATAGAACCTCACGATCAACAGAGTCGAATGCCGCCTTAAGGTCGAGAAATACTACCATTGTGGGGCGTCTGAATGTGTGTCTGTGTTCTAGAACCTGACGTAGTGTGAATATCTGATCTATACAACCACGTCCAGGTCGAAAACCAGCCTGGTTTTCTCTAGTCTGCTCTTCACGAGCTTTGTTAGGCGTCGAAGTATTATTGAAGCTAATATTTTAGACACTATATTAGTCAAACTGATTCCTCTGTGATTGTCACAAGAGGACTTTTGTCCTTTCTTATAGACTGGCACAATCAGTGATTGAGACCAGTCAGATGGGATTACGTCCAGTTCCCAAATTCTACCTAAGACCTCAGTTAATCTCATTGCTAATACTGGACCACCATCCTTAAAAATCTCAGGAGTAAACCTGTCAGGGCCTGCTGCTCTCCCTCGTTTCAGATTTCCTATGGCTTTTTCAACTTCGTAAAGGGACGGAGGACCTACATTAACTTGCCATTCAGGTTGACTGGAGATCGTGGGAAACCGAAGTTGAACTGATCCCTAAAGTGTTCTGCCCATCGATCCAATCTCCTGGATTGAGAATGAATAATATGTCCATCTTTCTCTGAGATTGTTTCGCTAACAGTCGGTTTCCTTAACGAGTCTGAACAATTGTCTGCTATTACCTATTGCCGCTGCCTTTTCCATCTCTCTTGCTTTCGCTACCCACCACTGTTCGCGATCATTGCGTAGACTTCTTGTCAGCTTGCGCTTAAGCTGACTCCGCTCTTCATTATGTTCAGAGCCAGGTGGAATGAGTTTCCGAGCATCTATCAGTGCGATAGATGCTGCTGAGATCCAGTGTTGCTCCCTAACCTTCTGGTTTACCTTACTAGCAGATATCACTGCTGTTTCCACAGCTTTTCGGATATCATTCCATGCTGCATCGGGGTGGGCATCACATACATGGCTGCCTAACTGTTTTCCTAGTTGTTCCTGAAATATACTCTTAGCTTGACTATCATTAAGTAGGCCCTAAGAGGTTTCCTTGCAGCGTCTTTCCTACGTCCAGTAAGACGCAAGCAAATACGCGCTCGCACTAGAGCATGATCTGAATCTAGGCATGTGCTCCAGAATGAGCGACAGTCTTCTATCGAGCCCCTCCATCGGTGGCTGATAGCGATGTGATCTATTTGGGTCCAACGTTGGGACGAATTAGGGGGTCGCCATGTTAAAAGATGTTTTTCCTTATGCTTAAAGTTAGTATTTGCAAGGAACAGGCGGTTATCTGAGCATAGCTGCAACAGACGGTCGCCATTATCTGTTCTTTGAGCCACGACCATAAGATCCACCTAGGTGTCTTTCCCTATCGCTTAGTTTACCTACTTGAGCATTAAAGTCACCGGCCACTATTACTACATCCGAGCGCCTAGCTTTTCGGAGAAGGTCCGAAAGCTTTCTGTAAAACTCATCTTTTACATCATCTGAGCTGCAGTCAGTGGGAGAATAGGCAGAGACAACGACGAGTGTCCCTATCTTTCCGGATTCTTACTGTTCCGTTCAGTCGGACAGCGCACAAACGACTGTCTACTGGGATCCACTCTAAGAGAGCTAGTTCTGCCCTAGGACTCAATGCTATACCTACGCCGGCGAGGCCACGGGAAGCAGAATCAGGGCTTCCAGATACACGAAGCGTAAATCGAGTCGGTTCTTTATTTTGGCATGGTGAGGTCAAATGAATGACGCTACTCGGATCCTGTATGCGCGTTTCGGAGACGCAGCACACATCGATGGCGCGAGATTCTAAAGTTTTAGCTAAGGAAGCCTGCTGTCCTATTTGGCAAAGTGTTCGTACGTTAAAAGCTCCTACGTGTAGTTTAGAGCGTGGTTTCAGGAGACCAGGAATGGCGTTCCACGTACTCGAATCGTTTGCCCTAGCGGTGCGAGGTGATAAAGAGACGTGAGGAGGGTTAGTCATGGAGATAAGAGAGGTATTAGGAGGTGTAGGAAGGATTTGAATGTGACCACCTTGGTCTCTTGTGCTGTTACGGGTATGAGGGCTGATGTCACTTCCCGGCTGCCCACACCGTGGAAGGGTATTTCTTGAGGAACCTGAAAAGGAAATTGGATTAGTGTTGGTCTTGACGACCTGGGAGCGTGACCGCAGAGCCCAAGGGACAACTGCTTGAGGCCGGTCGCGCACGGCCTTTTTGTGGAAGGTTTTTGACGTGTTAGCTCCGTTCTTCAAAGGGCCTTACCGCCGGAGACGGAAATCCGTGAGGTAAGGTGAGGTGTGACATTTTTAGGGTCGACCTTTTCTAACCCCACCCCTCCTTGTGGGAAGGCAGCATCGCTGTCATGCTGGTTGTCCGAGGGAAACACCTTACTGCTGTCACACCTCTCTACAGTCAGCAGTACGACTTCGCCCTCAGACCTTGAGTTGCTGCTTTTAGTCTTACCGTTCTCCAATCGACCTGCCTGGCATGGTAGAACCTACAGGAACATATGTTCCAGCCAATATAGCTCGGTTGGGTCATCACGATAGGCAAGCCCGACCACCGCGTCAAGGTAGCAGCTTCGGTCGGGTAAAGGGGTATACATATGCGCCACACAATAACAATGATAATAAAATAATAATAATAATGGGAGAAGCAGTTCAGTTAGCAAAGGTACAATCAGAAAGAATTCTTCCAGCTAAAGAAGTTACATCCACTTTTTATGAAAGTAAAGTAAAGTAAAGACAGGATCGTCACTGGTTTCTATTCTGAGTCATGTCTAATAACGTCTCGGGCCATTGTATTGCACCATTTCTAGGAGCCGACCAGGGAGTCGTGAAAGATCAACATAAGCCAGTCCTGTACAGCTGATATACCACGACACCATGTCATACACTGACCACCTCCGCTTTTCCCAAACAGTTCCAGCGTCGGTAAATAATGCAGGACGTACAATTGTCTGGGACGACATTCCTAGAACATATCCAAGCCACCGAAGTCGATGTTTCAAGATAGTGACACCAATTGAATTATCGTCGCTGTGCCCGAACGCACAATGCCAAACCTCTGCATTGCTAACATGGTGTTGCCACTGGATGTCAGCAATACTTCGAGACAACGACGATCAAACACAGAGTCGTCTAACATCTCCAACTCGGAGAGGCCAGGTTTAACAAGCATAGAGCGAAACTGCTCTCACCGACGCGTTATAGATTCGACCTCTCACAGCCAGAATAAATCACACAGGCGCCAAAGATGGCCCAGATTGGCACTAAACCGCTCTGACTTTCATTATAAGTGAATCGATCTGATCTCTCACGCCACCAACGGCATTTGTGCAGCTACCTAGACACACGAACTTCTGTCCAACGAATCGAAGGCAGCTCTGATGTCAAGATACACTACGATCGTGATAAGTATGGACGTGTTCTAACATTTGGCGGAGGGTGAAGGTATATTCAATACGTCCTCGACTAGAACAAAAACCAGCCTGCTCCTCACAGCGAGTTAATCTTTCTCAAGTTTTGAACAACGTGTGAAGCATGACGGAAGCCAATAGTTTGGACGCAATCGGAAGTAGACTTATCCCTCGATAGTTGTTATAGGAACGACGTGAACCCTTTCTAAAGATAGGGACGATTATCAGCTCATTTCACGATGTTGGAATACTCTAACTGCCAAACCTGTGTAAACCACTCAGTCAGTTCCTTAACCAGAAAGTTACCACAACCTTTAAAAGTAGTCGGAGGTAAGTCACCTGGGCCCGGTGATTTGTGGCGTTTCAAGAGTTGGAGTCCCTTGCGGACTTCCGCCTAATTTGATGGGTCAGTATTCGTCAGATGCCATGGAAAGCAGCAGAGCCTAATCGATTTTGCCGAGGCAGCAGACTAGTTGAACTGCCCCTCGCCTAGAACGTCGATAAATGTTAATGACTGGCATCCCGTCATCACAGAGTTTTTTCACTCACACCAGACTTCTTGCTGCCAGTGGCTCGGATGAGTTGGAAGAGCTTCCGCTAATTACCAGATGCAGCTGCTGCTTCCAACTCACTGACACGCTCTAACCACCAGACTTTTCGGTCCTTACGCAAGCTTTGCTCAAGTTCATTACGTAACAGTCGTCGTTTGTGGTCAAGATCACGGTCACCCTGAGTAGTCCTACGGGCTTTAATGAGTTATAAGGAGCCTACAGAAACCCAGAGCTTGTAAGTGGGACGTTTCGCAAACCGCAACCGACTTCACTCGCCATTTTCATGGCGTCATGTAATTGCAACCAATGCTCAACTATACTTTTCGGTGTGATGTTAGCTAGCTTTGAATCTAGCTCGGTTTGATATTTAGTTGCAACAGAACCTGCAACCAACTTGCTGATATCGATCCGTTTAGGACAATGAATTTTTTGGCCACTGAAAAGTAAAGTAAGATTAGCGCAAACAACGGCATGATCAGAGTCCAGATGGGTACCCTATAAGGAGCGGAAGTCTTGCATACAACCACATCAGCGGTAGCTGATCGCGATGTGGTCAATCTGAGTCCGGGCTTCAGATGCATCGTTCCTCACCCCGATTTTTTCTTAATTTGTTGGAACTTTCTAATCTAACAGCACATAACCGATTGTTAATGGGGATCCAATGGATTAGTCCTGAATCAGTTCTAGCGCTTAGTGCTACACCAACGCCAGCAAAACCGGACGAAAATGCCACAGGGTTCCCAGATTAACGCACGTAAAACAAGCTTTTCGAAGCGACAGATGGAGAGCGAATTTGTAGTACTTCACTAGTCTTGAATACGGGTCTCAGATAGACAACAGACGTCGATATTAAGATTTTCTAAAGACAAAGCCAACCCTATCTGTTGTCCGATCTGCATTAGTGTGTGAACGTTGAAGGAAGCCATTTTGAATGGTATACGCGGTTTCAAATAAGACTGTTTCAGTGTTCGTGATCAGTGGTAACATCCAACTTTCGACTCGAGATCGTTTAGATAGAACAGGGTTTCCACCATAGGTGAGCTGCTGTATAAGTTCAAAAATAAGAATGCACAAAGTGGGAATAAAAGAGAGTAGATAAGTGACGTAGTATACAAAAAAATAAAAGTTATCAAACGGATAGTTGTCTGAATTTCATTTGGAGTAAGAACAGTATTTCCAGTAATTATTGTCATCTCACTTTATTTGTGTGTGGGCTGTGATACTGCCAGGGTGCCCAGATCGAAGCAGGCGGTTTTCTCAGGGGAACACATCCGGAACCTTTGACCTAAAAGCCTAATCCACAAGGCAGTGGAGCAACGTTAGGAGATGCAGTCCCATGGTAGCCAGTGACCAGCAATAGTTTCATATGCCATTTGTTCCCTGAGGATCCTGGAGTTCCTTCGTACCAATGGTTTGGAAACAGGGTTTTCCAACTCCCCTAGGTGGACCCTCCGTGTCCACTAAGGTCAGTCTATGACAAATAAAACTACATAAAGTTACTGAACCGACTGTAGGATTGAACTGGAGCACAACGGTGAGCAACTTTTTACTTTATCCTAACAAACGCTTGACCCCGTTCAGCCGATGGGAAAATAGCAAATATGAATAATTTATAATGCCAAGACTAATATTCAATTTTAATGGCAGAGTGACGATGAAAATGTAGAATTTAAGATCACAGCTAGGATCAGGGCTTAGGCTTTTTGAGTTATGAATAAGAATTAGAGTTTAAAGTCTACGGTTTTGGATTGAGATATTTTTATAGCTACACGGTCTTAAGCCCGGGTAAAGGAGGAGGGTTGAATATGGGGTCAGAAATCCCATCCCACAATGGCGTAGGTGTATACACTCTCTGTCTTCCCTCAAATTATGAGATTAAAGTCGCTTCATATATTTCTTTCTACAAACTAGTTCTTTCTTTCTGTACTATATCCTTATACACAATCCTTCTTTTATATATTACCACTACTGAATTAATTACTTCTATGAATCCGGTGTTCATCTTGCTGTGCTAATGAGGTATGGCAAGTTGGACAGATGCATATATTTGCCTGGTCCCACGCTGTAGCTGACTGACTGGAAACCCAATCCCGTAAAAAGACCTTATCAAAAAACTCCATACGACACAATGAAGAACCAAGAATAGAGGAACTCCTGAATAAAATAGCTCCGCTGAACCAGCCGGACATCGAAGCAGCACCTACAAACCTCCCTATAGATATCACTCCACCAACCAAGGATGAATAGCGACTGAAAAGAACTGGAAATGATTGCCCAGGACAGGCTTGGATGGAGAGTGCTGGTGGCCATCCTATGCTCTTCCACGAGAGGTAATAGGCGTAAGTTAATTTATGGTGAAAAGTACAATTAGGAAAGTAAATTTGGGCTGAAAATAGTACCAATTAAAACTTAGAATTCATAAAATAATTTTTTTGCACAGAGTAAAACACTGCATGTAATGAATATATTGTGGCTATTTGTTTTCATCTTTAAAAGAGTATTAATTACTGAGATTATAAGTACTAGCTCGTTATTTTGCGATAACATTATTGAATTAATTAAAGCTTACAGGATCATATTTTTTCAATAGTTCACAAACGTTGAATCGTAACTCAGTTAATCGATCAGAGCATATTTTGGTTTCTTGTTGGAAAGTGGCCAAGAGCTGTATAAAGGAAATAAGATTTTCGAGGGTATATAATTTGAGTTAGAAATCATAAAAGGAAAAGACTAATCTACTCACTTTGTCCGGTAAAAAAGCAAACTGTGATGAAAAAATCTTTATACGGGATGTGCCAATTTTATAACTTATTTGTGGCTATTCATTTACCTTAGTTCAATTTCTGCTATTCGAAATATACCTCGAAGTATTTATAAAGAGTCAGGTTCTGAATTCGGCTGGTCATTTCATATCTAGTCAGACAAGTGTATACAGATGCTGTTTCCAAATTCAGTTCAAGAGTAACTATTCTGTTGGTCAATTGGGGATGGGAGAGCATAAGATAGCACACAAATGCAATGCTTTTTTTCCATCGATAGCGAAATATCATTTTTGGATGGTATATTATCCCTCTTTTATTGGAGGATTCATTCGCTAGAGAAACGCTATTTTTCCAGTGAGTTATTTTATTAAATCGCCCTCAACACTTGGCACATTTCGTAAATTTCATCCGAAAGCAAATGTAATTCAATTTGTATATTTGATAAACACAATATATTTTGTAGATTTTTTCAGACAAATATGTTCTAATAAAACGGGATTAGCACCTGATATTACTGGGCCATATATTAATTGACATAAAACTCGAATTCTCGGTTAATTTTTACTCATATCTCATGATGATCACTTCCGTTTCCAAACAAAATCGGAGCAGCAGAAACAAAACAAATAACTGACTAGTTGTTAGTTAAGTTTCAAAATATATCTCGTCAGTCTTGAGAGGTCCAGAAACGCCAGGAAACGTTTTATCTAATGAGTGTTGAATAGAAGCTTCGCGGAAACATCTAGGAAATGAAGAATTACGTCACGGTTCTGGTTGGATATTGACCTACATTGCTACTATATTTAACATGTTTAAAGAAATTTCTAGAAGCCCAAAGTTGTACGTAACTTTGTAAATATACTAGTTTTTTTCTGTACATGAACTAACCTTTAAATAAAGCTTATACTCGAAATTCGAGTCATCTCTTCGTTGTTCCAGTTGGCATGTAGAAGTGGTGGGGGTTATAGCAACCGACTAGGAAGACAGTTTAGGCGTATCGCTAGCAGACACTTATTACCAAAGTTCACAAAAACTCGATCTTTAAGAAAAAAGTGGGAAATTATCTTAAAGTTTTGTAACGCAAATGGTTTAACCGAAACTGTATAGCCTAATAAAAGGAGAATGATACTTACAGATCGGAGACCTTGTTCATAGCGATCGAAGAAGTCTTCTAAAGGAAAACTAGCAAGATCAGAATCTGTAAGGGTATGAATTTGATCTTTTTCCATTGGCCATTCAGGGGGTAGGAAATACCGTAGACAAACCCTACATGGTAGGAAAAATATAATATATGTGCCACACAATTACATTTATACCAGATTTCGAAAATAATATTAAGGCCAAATTATATAGAGTGACATTATGAAAGATATCTTTACATGCAACAGGTTCGATGTGTGGAGACTGAAACACCACTCCACGTCATATCAAAGCTGAATGAGTATACAGAAAATTTTACATTCAATGTGAGATACCAGTATTTTTGTATAGATTTGAAGACGATCAGATAAGTAATTACACCACTAAAGCTACAATCGTAAATTTACTGTGAAATTTAAAGTAGAAGCAAACTATAATGACAAATTAATAGGATTTGGGGTGGTGTTCAGAGTTTTGCACAGAATTATATGTGCTGTGGTGGGTGGCCTAAACATTCTACCATTGGAACACGTCACCAGTGATTATAATAGGGTGGAAAACACCATAAACTATTTACAAACCAGTCGATAAGAAATGGTGCTTATAAAATCTGAAGAAACACAAGAAAAAGTCCTGTTCTGTTACAACATATTTGGGTGGGGTTTTGTTTTCCAACAAATCGAGGTTACAGCTGAAACAGTTGATGTTCTTGTTTATGATCTGGTCCCATGAATTCAACTAAAAGCTCCTGAAATCCTGATACGTTCACTGTTAACATTAGATAGTGGTAAGATTGTTGAGGTGAAACTGCCATCGGGAACGAGGAGTATAACAGGAAAGTTGGTTGGGTAGCCACTCTATTTCTCTATCTGTAGTAAATTTTCGGGATAGTCTCTTTAGAAAGCGGGATTCTGAATATGTTCAAAATCAACAAGCGAAAATATTAATTCCTATCGTAAAAAATTGTTCCACCGGGAATTACTATACATTTAGATAGTTCTAAGGATACAAACACAGATCTGTCATAGATAAGCTATATTTTATGAATCCTACACGCAATTAACATAGAAGCTATAAGAAGCTGCTTGAATAACTATTAAGGGTCATAATCTGGCTCAGGAAGAAACTTTTTCTTCAGTCACATGAATGAGTTACTTTAGCGGACATATCTCAATTTTTTTTTATTCTACTGATCTAATTTTCAACATGGAAAAGTTCATTAATCATATCAAAACTGTTTCGCCATTGTAATTTTAATACTTGCTTTCTTATTTTAAATCGTTTTATAACTAAACATTGTTTTATGATTTGCTGAAAGGAGTCGTTCAACTTAATCTACATAGTTTACTTTTGGTAACTTGAATTGAAAATATTTTACAAGAAGTGTAAAATGTCACTTCAACAGAAATGCTTACTTGAATTTCTCCTGAATCTTCTTATTAATTGCAGTATTCTACAGAAAATATGTACATAAACAAATGAGTCAAAAATTATGACTGAATTATGTAAAATGATAGAAACGTTAAATACTATATCTCTTCATATGAGTGTTTTATGAACTAGAAACACATAAACCGATAAATATTTTAACGTACAGTAAAACAGTAACAGATGTGAAAACTTAAACTGAGGACAATTCTTATTAAGTATTTTCGCTTATTTCATTTAGCAGTTCAATCGTTTTATATAGCGCATCTAAGGGTACAACAACATTATTAGTGGAAAACAGAATATCGATGGCTAGGGGGGATAAGTGATTTCAAGACATAAGTATTGCTGGCTTAAGAAATTTAGTGGGTGTTTACGATGATTATTGTTGATAACATTTTCAAAAACATACGACTTAGTAGTTCAAAATTAGAATTAAAACCACTGGTCTATTGTTATTATTCATATTACGTAATCTAGTATTATAACCTTTTTATTAACTGTGTTCACACTTCCTCGCGGAATTAGTACTTTTACAAAAACAAAATTTCCATATATATACGATTGTACAGCTTGATAATAAATTCGTTGAAAAGAGATCCCTTCGCTGAAATTCGTGTTTTAATTTTAAATGTCAATGAAGCTAAGACTTGAATATGAAGTTTGATTGCTATTTGAAGTTTCAGACAAATATACAAAACCAGATGCTACTGAGTTGATTATTAGCAACAACGACAATTTCCACAAATCCCTTATGCCAATACCAATCATGTGCTCACCGGTGACTAGCTCCAAGATGTAACTCCTGGAGTTCTGGTGAGAAGCCATAAACAGTGGAGTACAGTCCCGGTTATTCACTGCAGGTAATCGATAAAGAGTTGTGCATGATCATGAACTGATTTAAGTCAAACGTTGGCATCACTGGATGCCCCGACCGTTGTTGCTACCTTGATGTGGTGGTCAGGCTTGCCTATCGTGATGAAGCAACCGAGCTATACTGACTGGAACAACCGTTCCTCAAGGTCCTACTGTAGTGAACAGAAAACGGGTGGGGACAATCGAATGTATTTAACACAAAATTACAGGACTTGTTAATAAAATCTAACAATCATAAAGTAAATGCTTAATTTGCAAAATGTCCACCAATTGTCTCAAAGTGACTCAGACTTGATTGTTCTTGCATTTTCATACAAATTGCAATCTGTTCCCATTCTTTACTGTTCGATCCTCTCGTCTCTCTGCTGCCAAACCTTCTGTTCACGACTAACATCATATACTACTCATGTCAATATAAGTAGCACACACCACACTACCGTGTCAGACAGGTCGGTAAGACTAAAAGAAACAAACCCAAGGTCCGAAGACAAATTTGTACCGCTGACTGTACAGAAGTGTGACGGCAGTAAGGTGTTTCCTTCAGACAACCAGCATGACAGCGATGCTGCCTTCCCACAAGGAGGGGTGGGGTTAGAAAAGGCCGACCCTAAAAATACACACCTCGCCTTATCCAACAGATATCCGCCTCCGGCGGTAAGGTTTCAACAAGTACGGAGCTAACACAAAAATCCCTCGCAGAAAGGTCGTGTGTGACCGACCTCAAGCAGTTGTCCCTTGGGCACTGCAGTCACGCTCTCAGGTCACTAAGACCACCTCTAATCCAAGTTCCTTTTCAGGTATTTCCAGAAGAACCCTTCCACGGTGTGGGCAACCGGGAAGTGATAACCGCCCTCATAACTTTAACAGCACTCAAGACCACTGTATTCACTAGATGCCGACTCAGTGATCGGGAGGTTGAGGGTTCGGGCGCGAGATCGCAGGTCCTGGGTTCGATTCCCGTACACAAGGCCGTGAACGTGTACAGTTGAGTCCCATATTAGGACGAGACGGCTGTCCAGTGTTTTTAGGTTTTCAATGGTGGTCTAGCTAAGACCAGTTCGTGATTTCAACGTCTAAAAGAAGTTTTCTGCTGCTCATGAACAAGCTAAGTAAAGTCTCATGTCATAGTGGCTTTCAAACAACTAGTACAACAAGTACCATATGACCTTGTAGTTTGGAAGTGATGCAGGTTTCGAACTAACCACATCGAAAGTTGGGTGTTATGATCAGTGAGCTACAGCTTCATAGACGGAAATTAGGGAATATTGGTAGGTAAAATTTAACCACTAATAAAGTAAATGGGTGAATGACGATAATAAACGCAGAAACAAACATATACATATTGAGGGAGTCGACGATGGACATTTTAGTTATGTAACGAGTGATAAACATAGTAGATGAATTGGGTTTGAATACAGAACTCATCGGTACCCAAATACTTTGTTACTGATCTCCAACTATATTGAAATCAAATCTATTGAAGGCACGGTACACACTAAAGCGAAGAGCTTTTCTTTTAATTTCGTGGAAAATATTGATTACGGCCAAGGAGAAATTAGAAGGAAGTTTATGATAAGAACGATAAATGAATTTGGAAAAACGTCGGAGTGCAGACCAGTTATAGTGGTTGTGTTGTGATAGTAGGAAGTAATACAAATGTTTACATCTAATTTCATGTATCATTTTAAAAGGCTGAAATAAATGATACTTTTTGAAAAGATGGTCTATCCCTTCCATTCGCCTTGAGTGAGTGTATATAAATGAATACACATATAATAAAATGTTTCGTTTGTCAAACATACTAAAACTTGATATTCTTATGGTTCTAGCTTACACAGAAAATAAATGAATTATATTTCTGATATGCGATGTCATGTATATCGTCGGTGTATGACATGGTGTCGTAGTAGAAAGAAAGCTTTAAAGAACTGGTATTTTTAGTCACAACTTCCTGGATGAGAAATCAAGAAATCAGTGAACTAACACACAAATTATTCTTTCGTCCAGCAATTCAAAATATTGACATCAAAAATTATTTAAAACATCTAATTATTAAATCTTACAGCTTCGGATGATAAAGAGTTAACTGTTGAATTCAATTCTTTCGATTTATTTCCTACAGAATCATTGTTTTTATTTTGATCCCTTTATTTAAAAGAAAGAAATATGAATATATACAACCGACTGGTTGAATTACAATTGAACAACAAATTTACAGCAAAGTGAAGCGCAATGATGTCGCAGCAGTGCTTACGAAATAAATAACGAGCCCATTCACTAGATACTTGGATATAAGTCGAATGCCTTAACCACTAAGCCATTTCTACTACTCGGTTTCCCTGGCTAGTTGAGGAGAGGTTGAAATCTAAGATCAAACGGTTGAAAGCTAAGTGGTTTAATTACGAACTCATCACTTCACGATACAAAAGAAAACTTGACAACTCAGTTATTTAAAATATATGCAGTAAGGATTCTGGATCTAATGTTAAAGTCTGTTGTAATTAAGGATAGTGTCTAAAGTGTTTGTCATGTTTTGAACGTTTCACTGTGATACAGTGTCTCTAGTTAATCAACAGAGCAATTAGTCAGTCAGTCACAATGTGGCATCTGGTACGTATGTACATTGACCCAAGTTACCATGCCCCATTAGCACTGAGATGATTTTTTTAGGGCAAATCCTAGAATAGTAGAAATAGTAACAGCTTCGACAGAGCAGTAATCAATCAGAGGGTAATCATAACAAAACTAACAATCACTATGCACAACAAAGAAATTTTCCTTGAACTGACAACTAGCTACCGTATTGCCTCGTAGAGGATCTCGATAAAATACCTAGGAATCGATTTTCAACAGAATAATCAAAAACTAGTTTAAACAATTCAAACAACAATCTTTCGATTACTGTTAACATTATTATTATCGCCATCAATAGTCTTGCTGATTTCGCCTCAGTTTAATGATATAAATAACGGGGGTCGAACTAGTGTACATTTGTTGTCATCAGACTCAGTATTGTTGGTGTTTATGGAGTAGTTAATAGTGACAAATTATTTTTTTAATGGAACACGATCTAGAAGGGAATTTAAATATCAATAATAATGATAATAGGGATTTGAATCATGTATTAACTTACTTATTTACTACAGATGTAGCATCACCGTTGTTTGGATCTATTGAAGTTCGATTACGATGGTGCATTGTGACTGAATCGTGTGCGGGACTTTTATCTTTATTAGTTGATCGTTTGCCATTTAATTCATCAGTTGTCTTCTGAATACTTTTTTCAGGGGTTTGTGAAGTATTGATTTTAGTCTGGGAGCAAGTTGAAATGAAAACATTTACATTATATACTTTATTGAAACAAGAAAACAGGTTTGAAGTCACTTGAACAATCATTATCGAAGTACGGAAATGGGACGGGTGTATAGTATCGGTTGTTATATAAGACAAGACAGTGAGAGGAAATCAATTAAATGAGAAGTAAAGAATGGAAAGTAAAATTGAAGTGAACGAAAGTCGAAATAGGAGAAATACAATTTAGAAGGAATAAATGTCCTTCCGGACATTTTGGATAATGTCTAGATAAAGACAAACATCTTAACTAAACTACTGCATCAAAATTGTGTATGCGGTTACTAAGTCGAAATTTGTATATCAACCATGATCTGGATATATACTTTAAACTTTAATGGTTTACGCTTAGATGTTGACTCAAAGAAACCCCATATTTTTATGCTTAAGTATATTGATTTTGGATAAAGGTAATATGAACCGGTCTGAAAACTTTCTGTTGTATATTATTCAATACAATACTAAGATTATTTATATGATAGAACAAGATAAACGTTAGAACCGTTTTATTACCTTTTAAGCCTGACTTTCAATGAGGTTTATCCACGTGTCATCTTTATTGTACTGATTGAATCAGTAAAATTTCTGATACTTTGTTAAAAGACGCGGTGATTTATCGTTATAGTTAACCGGAAACAAAATAAATTCTATGTAAGTGCAACACTGATAATAGATGACTAACAGAAATCCGTTATGTATACTTCAGTATCGGACGTATTAGATATAATCGATTTGCTCACAAAACTGACAAACTTTAAATAAAGGAAAATAATATGTTGACTGCTAGATTACCATTGTCGATCTGTTAATAGTGTATATTTAGGAAATTTTCTACAGTAATTCGACTACATAGAGAAGAAAAGTGATTATAGTGAAATTGTTGGAGATAGTCAGCAAGAATTGAATGGATACTAAGTGGAAGTCAGTAGAGTGCAATATTAAGAATGTGATGTTTAGCAGGCATATCAATGAAATAATGATTATTCCAATCCATCATTTGTAGATTAGAATGTAAATCCATTTCATTTCGACAATTTTCAGTTTATTTTGAGTGTTTTATACTGTATGTGGAATTTAACATCAACGGTAAATAACATTACAGGCAATACAAACGATAAAACATATAACACATAATGAACAACAACAACATAGATAAACATATACTAAGGGATTTATATGTACAAGTCGAATTTAAAAATGAAAAACAAAACTCACTACAGAAATGGAATTATTTACTTTTGGAAGGGAGGATGTAGTTTGTTTGCTACGAGAAACAGATTTAGAGATTTCTTTTTCTTCTTCTTCTTCATCATCATCACTTGTCTCTTCTTCTTCTTCTTCACTGCTTTCACTTTCTGCTGTTGTGACTTTACGACCCTAAACAAAAAAGTAGAAAAGTTCGAATTTCTACACCTACACTGATAAATAAGGGAGCGTAAAAAGGTTAAAATACAGATTACGACTTATCAGTCCGTCATACCTAACTTAGCGCTTAGCTCAAGTATTCATTGACTACAGTTACCAGATTAAATTAACGCGGTAGGGTGAAATTACCAAAATGAAAAGCGAATAACTTGAAATAATACACCGGAAAGGACAATGAGAAAGACAAAATATTGACAATGTCGTTTGAAAAAACAAAACGAAGAAGTACTTATTAAGAAATAGTAGAATTCCTGGTCTAGTAGAAAACAAACGGCATTGATATTTGCGAAGTTTTGACCGATTCTAAGCCATGTCATACAAACTCTACAACCACTGGTAGCAATCATTGTGCGGTCCCCAACCAATAATCTGCATCTGCAAACATAGAGTAGACCGACAGTTAATGACTTCATACACTGATCTCACTGTTTTGATTTGTACGCCCCTAGCATTCTCCCGATCTACTCCCACACCATCTGATGTTGTCCGTCGAGGTAGGTCATTGTTAGGCATACGCAACCCCATGAACCGATTGTCCGACTCCGCCTAACCCCAACATTGCCCGCTTGACTGTTCCACGAAATGCAACCAATAATTGGAAGACAATTATGATCAAGAACTTGAAATCTATACATGCCTTTTACTTTCATAGACTGTTCCATGACCACAGAGTAATATAGAGCGGACTGTTGTGTAGTATACTCGTCCTTTGGTTGGTAGATTTACATTTCACCAATGCTACAAGTAACACAAGTTGATAAAAGAAAACTGAGCTTTCAGAATCCGTGTTTAGATTTACCCAGGAACCAACCCAACAGGGCTGTTGAGATTTCCAAAATAAGTGAAGCGGTCGACACACAACTATTTTACTTCCTATCATTTGCCCAGGTGTTGATTCAGACCAATACTGAAGCTATATTTTACATTGAGAGGGGGAGAAACACATTCTTAACATGTTTGCATTATTGCTCAAAGCAAACAGAAGACCCTGAATTTTGATGAGATTCCCTAAAGTAAATTGTAGGATCTACGATTTTATAACTTACTCTACACATTTTTTCGCAGCTAGAAATCTTTTCACACTTTACAGTTTGTTTCCATTTTATCTACATTAAGGATGGTATTTTCCTAATGGATTGCTTATGCTTTCCGTAAACTAATTTATTGCTGAACTTACAAGGACTTTGTAAATACATTTGTATGATACAACTGAATCAAATTTTTGGTGGATTTATTTTCTATTCAATATTTTGACTTCGTTGAGGTTAGTTGGGTCTAGGGAAGAAAAGAAAACTTCATTTCTTTGCTTGTTTAAGAGTAGAAAGTGCTATAAATGTGTTTTAATTAACAAATAGTAACATTAATTAGCTGGGATAATAGAAGTCTAGAAAACATGCAGCTTTTACAAACTGGAATTTCAGTTTGTAACTTTTAAAAACTGAATGAGTTTCGATACAGAAGAGTAGACATGGAACAAATCTATCAGTAACATTTGTTATTGGAGGATAATAATATATTACAACAACTTACTTTAGGGGTAGTTGAATTCCGTTGTTGAGCTTTAGGGACTAGACCACTGGGGCGTGGTTGTCTTTGGTTACTTGTAGGTAGTGGTAAACCAGTACGTTTTTGGGATGATAACGATACAGGGCCATTTGATGACGATAATCCAGCTTGACGTTTTTTATCTGCAACAGTCATTGCTCGAGAAATGGAAGAGGATTGAGTAGACCGTTTGTTGGGGAGATCCGAGATAGCTGGAGGCGGATGTGGGCGTTTACGAGGAGATTTGAGAGAGCTGAACTCCCAGAGCCACTTAAGCGACCACTACGAGTAGTAGCACTGGAATCGTCAGCTTTTTCATCATCAGGATCTTGAATAAGTTCAAGTTCTTCCTATACGGATAAAACGGAATGAAATATCGTCAAAAATCAAAGCGTGTTCATGAATACAGTAATATATAAGAGCGTTCAAAATGAATCATCCTTAGACAGATACACTTTCAGAGCAAATTAAATAACTTGTTGCATCAAAACATTAAAAAAAACGAAAAATAAATGTATTAGGCAGTTCCAAAATACTTTTCAGAAAAGTCAGTGGGTCTAGAAAGCACTTGGAAACATTTTATTCAGCCGGTATTGAGTAGACGTTTCTCTAAAACATCTAGAATGATGACAGATCCTTTTTCATTTTTGATTGGGTAGTTATCTTATTATCATATAAGGTATGCTTTTGGAACTGCTTAGGCCAGGTTAAATAGTATAAATACACGCGGTTTTCCGTGCATTGGAGTAAATGTTATTTAGCACTTCGCAGCTTTTCTCTTCTGTTCAAGTTGCTATATAGATTTAGTCTGAGGTTATTGGAGGCGGCTAGAAAATCGAACCGACAGTTCAATTAGCAGACTTAATAAAATTTTATTAACATATGAGTTATGTCTAAACTAGTTCTATTAATTGAATAAAATGTACGATGTAAATACCCAGTATGAATAGATACTTACCTGTTTTTTACGGATTTGTTTTTCGAGTTCTGCTTGTCTTTGTTCCTTAGTTTTAATTTTCCTCTTTAAAACACCCATTGGTGGGCTCATATCTTCTTCAGGATCCTCACATCTTCAAAGTGATAATTGACCAACAATGTTTAGATCAGAAAGCAAGAGAGTAGATAAAACAAGGAAAAAGTTAACATCACTTTATTAATTTATCGGACAAAGAAAAATTAGACGAATAAACATTACGTTGCTTTGGCAAACAACTGGTAGTCCAGGTCAATGAGTTAGTCGAAAATTAGTCATTGGCTAAATTCAGTAACCAACCCCCACATGGTATGTATATATAAATCAAAGACCATCAAATGCGCCCCCGTTTGAAGAAACTGTAAAGGTGTCCTGATTAAAAAGTTGAGAGTTGAAGCAGCCAATTACAGTTAAACATAAGTGTTTTAACGCCTAGTATCAACGCTTGATAAATAAAACAGGGATCGTTAAAAACATCCTTTTTCATGAAAACTAAACAGCTTTTTACTTCAGACTAATTTATTTTAAAAAATCAGTACACCGAGGGCATCAAAATAGTGATACTATGATGTTATGAAACATTAAGAAAAGGTGAGAGATGGAAGTTAGGTTACAGGAGAATCGATTAAGACTATTACAGGAATGTTAAAATCTACATCCACAAAGTCAGTGGACAAGGTGCAAACGCTTATTTGAGTCTTGGTCGATATGAAACGAAAATATTGTATTATGAATCTAAATTATGTGTATTTTTCCCAGTACATCGATTCAAATTAGCTTAGAAACCAGGTGTACGTTAATATAATCGGTGTATGGAGTGAAGTTTGAAACTGAAGCATAAAATGAAGTACCAAATGTTAAAACCAGTCACCAGTTCAATGTTCTGTATATGACAATAAAAACTTGTTTTATCAATAAAACGTCGTAGAGATTATATCATTTCTTATCTATTTGAAAGTAATCTAATTTTTAATTAAGAATAACGTCAATCTAAAGCTAGTTTTTACCGGAGTTCCTTAATGAATGTACAATGTTAAGCTACAAATAGTTTCATATGAATTCAAAAGACAGTAAATACAATTTCATTAACAAGTGAATAATCCCTGGAAAAGATTATTATAAACTAAATTTTGAGTCTTGTATCTTAAGGTCATTTATTGTTGTATACTTAGTTGTTTAGGTGTAGAACACTACAATCATGCTTTGGATTTTTGTTGAGATTTATAAATTGTACTTGTAATATATTGTGTCAATTTATTCTATTGAGCTAATGGGAATTTGAGTTGTGAATGATATTCATAAAATAAAACCAGATATATTGTATTTGTAAAGTTAATTTAAGGATTGTAGTGTGGTGTATGCTGCTTATGTTGACAGATATAAGTAGTATGTAACAGTAAGAAGTGGAATATCTGTGAGCAGAAGGTTGAGAAGATTGAAATCAAAAGAGAGAAGGAAACTGGAAGCAATCAATATAACAACAGGAATGAAGGAACAATGAAGCTTGTAAGAGACTATTAAAGATATGCTATTTTCATATTTTACTGAACCACTATATGATTGTACATTAAGCAATAAATTGGTTATCCTCACCAGGTCTTCGTTCACTACAGTAGTAATTAAAAAGATGTTCCAGATTGGAAGTGTTAAAAGTCAAATTTTTTTAAAAAGCATCAAATATACTTGGATTTTGTTAGTTTCTTACTTTTTTTCCTATTAATTTTAACAATGAATCACCAAACGATATCAGAAACTGTCAACCAACACTCCACAGAATTCTAATATGTTGACAATGTTGGAATGTGCGTACAAACACAAATACACACCGGTTTGGACTAATAGAGTAGCTTGACAAAAATTATTAATTTTACATATCAATAATATGAAGTGAAAGAAATTTATCAAAAGAAAATGGTGAACGAAATAGATGCAACAACCTTTTATGTTTATGATCTGGATTATCACGACATTGCCAATTATCTGGAACATCGCGTCCGACAAGGCTCTGTGAGAATGGAAGTATTCTCCATTTTAAGCATTTATCTGAGACACGGGTAATTCATACATGGTCGGTTAGAGGAAAAAATATAAAAAAATTGGATAGATTGTACAGAGAGTAATACGAAATCTCATAAAATATCCTTTAGAATGATTCCGATTTGAATGCATTTTTCAAGTAGGAAAACCGTGTTCTACTGCGTATGCATACAGGTTACTCAGTCGAAAAGTTACAATTTATTGAAAAATAGTAATGCTTCTTAAAAATAAGGAATAGAAAGTATCACAATATATCGATATATCAATGACAAATATTTGCAACATGCTAGACCAAAAATGAATGAACTTTATATCCACCAGTCATTTCACAAGATGAAATGATCCCTTTATAAGAATTTAAAACTGGTAAACATTAGAAAGGCAGGCAAACAAAGATACTAACGAAACAGAAGATTCAAAGCTGCGACACATACTTTGGTATTATATAAAAACTTGAATGTGTAGATTAGGATATTTTACACAAGATGTTTGTATCGACAAATAAAAATGTAAATTTTTAACAAATTATTGGGATCATTCATTGATGGTCATTTGCTTTTGGTAAACACCAAATTTCTGTGTATTTACCGCAGATAAGCAACTTAGTATGTTTTCTTTGCTGACCAGTTACCTGACAGACATTCAGCTGTATAAATGAAGAAACGACATTTCTTTTAAAACATACTTCACGATTTCAAATTCGGATTAGTGTGTGTTATAATGTACAACAAAATTGTTACAATGAGCAGATAAATCTTGTCGAAATAATTGCCTCGACTCCTTAAGATAAATTTAAAGTTTAGTTCCATTTAAAACTATCCAGTAATTCATCATTCGAAAAACTGCTTATGTGCAGTTCGCTAACGCCAGGATTGATTTGCGAAGCCTGAAAGATAGATAGTTTTATGTGATACTGTGGAATGAAAAAGATAGGTATCTACTGACGGTGCTACGTTTAGTCATAAAGCTGAATAAGATAATGTCAGAGACAATACTAAACCAAAACTAGTGACAACTGAGCAAGAGTTTTCGTCTTTTGGTTGAAGAGTAATGAAAACGAAAGAAGGATAAAGACACATACATGACTACTTTATGTTTTGTCATTCAGGATCCAAGTACAGTCATTCACTTGACCTCAACTTGTGAATATAAAGAACCATCACAATTTGCCCAACCTAGTATCTGGAGACCCCACTGCTACTTCAGGTAACCTCGCCGGTTTAGATGTAGCATTAAGTTATAAAGCAGAATAAGATCTCCTAGACTCGATTCCATTAGAGGGTCGCTTGTGAGCTGTTCGACCAAATGGAACAGTAAGAACTCAAAAAGATAGGGACGCACGCCGTTGCCTTTTCGTTATCTATGCCTGCGCCATTATTAATTGCAGCTCGGATGAAGTTAAAGATGGATTTTATGGGAAGTTATCCAACCTCTATCTAAAAGCTAAACGCTATGATGTCGTTATAGTTACAGATTATTTTATTGCTGAATTACGTAAACTAAACCAAACTGAAAGGAACTTGAGCGGATCTTATGGTGTTGAGGCTCAGAGAACAGATAGTGGCGACCGTTTGTCGCAACTATGCTCAGATAACCATCTATTTTCGGCAAACACCATCCTCAAACATAAGGAGAAACGTCGTCTGACATAGCAACCTTTAAAATCAACTCATCGATGGAATCAAATAGAGTACATTGTTATGAGCCATCGTCGGAGGAGCTCTATTGAAGACTATCGTTCATTTTACAGCATATATTTACACTCAGATCGTGCTCTAGTTTGAGCACGTATTTGTCTGCGTCTTGCTCGGTGTAGAAAAGCCACAGCAAGAAAACTCTTTAGAGTTCAACTTAATGATGAAAAAAGTTAAGAATATATTTCAGGAACAACTAGAGCAGCTAGTCAACTATGAAAATGATAACCACACCGAGGTGGCTTGGTATGATATCCGAAAAGCTAAGAAAACAGAAGTGATATCTACTAATACCTCAAGCTAAAAGGTTAGGGCAAATCAGTGGATTTTATCGGCGCCCACAGAACTGATAAATGCTCAAAAATCATCCTGTCTGGCTCAGAACATGTGATGATTTCTGGTGTAGAAGTACGCTGTAAGAAGACAGAGGAGGCCAAACCCAAACATGGCATCAGTCCATAGAGTTACTGACAATTGGACTGAGCCATGTTAGTAGGTGCAGAGCAGCTGGTTAGTGTTAGAGTGATTATCGTAACCAAATTGTTAGAATTTGAATGGCACGGCTCAACACCGTTTGCAACGGAGCAGATGTTTCCACATTGTCTTTCCCCAAACTCTGAGATTATTAATTCCTCTTAACTTTTCATCTGTTTTTATCTAGCATGAGAATTTCATCTCGGTGTACTAAAGGAGTATGGCGACTTGAATCGATGTACTTACATACCAGGTTCTAGGTTGTGACTGACTGAACTAGGTCATAAACAATATCCTCTTAATTTTTTTCGCAGTTTTTCTCCATTTTCTTGAAGACTTTACACATTAATAACGAAGAGCAAGTTCGTAGGTTGATTTAAGTCTTTGTTAACATGGGATCACCGAAAACTAAAAACGAGATCTTTTAACGGGACCATCATTATATCTAGATGAGAACAAATATACGGTGCAGTCGATAAAATCAAATACTGACTAAAACGACTGGAGTTTACACTTAAAGTTTGCTCCTAAGATCAAAAATGTGGAAATGTAGAGGTTGAAAAGGTAAATTACGCAATAAGCGACAAATTAATTTCGTGAAGCTTCACAGTGAAAATGGTAGATGTACTATAAGTGTAAATGGGCTTATACACTCATCAAGGAAAATTAAACTCAACAAAAATATCTGATTACCACACTGAACACAAATGGAGACAGAACAACAGCGACGACGAGCATATTTTTCCTCTACACTAGGTGGGTCTCTCCAGCGTGCTGATAGATAGCCAAAACTTTTCCAGAATCGTATTAAACTGTCTGGTTCTTTATCAATCCCAAGGTCATCCCAATATTGCATTAAATGATCCGCCATTGCACGCATAAGTTGACGATATTCTTTAGCATCAGCAAAATCTTGCTTGTTATGTGTAGGTTCTGACGGAATAAAAAATTTTGAAAAGCAAAAAAGTTGAGAGAAAAAAAGAAAACAATGTTATTCTTGTTTTCGAGATTATCTGTAGAACTATATTAGACATTTTTTCTGATGACGCGGACAACATTCTGTTGTGACGTGAGTGAATTGAAACAATATAGTTGGTTACTTAGTTACTTACTTACTTACGCCTGTTACTCCTCGTGAAGGAGCATAGGCCGCTCACCAGCATTCGCCATCCAACCCTATCCTGGGCAATCCTTCCAGTTCCTATTGATCCTTTTCATATCTGCTTCTATTATCCGACGTAATGTGTTCTCAGGCCTTCCTCTTTTCCGCCTCCTTTTAGGATTCCAAGTTAGGGCTTGTCTCGTGATGCAGTTTGATGATTTGCGTAATGTATGTCCTATCCATTTCCATCGTCTTTTCCTAATTTCCTCTTCAGCTGGAATCTGGTTTGTTCTCTCCCACAAAAGGCTGTTGCTGATGGTATCCGGCCAATGGATGTTGAGTATCTTGCATAGACAACCATTTATAAATACTTGCACCTTCTTGATGATGGTTGTAGTAGTTCTTCGAGTTTCAGCTCCGTACAGTAGAACTGCCTTGACATTCATGTTGAAGATTCTCACTTTGATATTGGTTGTCAGTTGTTTTGAGTTCCATATGTTCTTCAATTGTAGGAATGCTGTTCTTGCTTTGCCAATCCTCGCCTTTACGCCTACAGCTGAACCTCCTTGTTCATCGATTATGCTTCCCAGGTATGTGAAGGATTCTACATCTTCCAGAGTCTCGCCATCAAGAGTGATTGAATTGCTGTTCTCTGCTTTGAATTTGAGGACCTCGGTTTTCCCCTTGTGTATGCTGAGGCCTACTGATGCGGAGACTGCTGCTACACTGGCTGTCTTTATCTGGATTTGTTCATGTGTATGCGATAGGAGGGCTAGGTCATCTGAGAAGTCCAAGTCGTCTAATTGGTTCTGAGCTGTCCATTGTATTCCGTGTTTTCCCTCAGATGTCGAGGTCTTCATAATCCAGTCGACCATCAGAAGAAAGAGGAAGGGAGAGAGTAAACAGCCCTGTCTGACTCCGGTCCTTACTTGGAATGTATCTGTCAGCTATCCTCCATGCACGACCTTGCACTGTAGTCCGTCGTATGAGTTCCGGATAATATTGACAATCTTCTCAGGAACTCCGTAGTGTCGAAGGAGTTTCCATAATGTCCTCCTGTCTACACCGTCAAATGCCTTTTCATAATCGATGAAGTTGATGTACAGTGACGAGTTCCACTCAACTGATCGTTCAACGATGAATATAATTGGTGGATATGGAGAATTCACCTAGGGGAGTTGGAAAACTGATTCCAAACTAATGGTGCACGCGGGCTCCAGGATCCTGATGGAACAAATGGCGTATGAACCAATTATTGGCCACCGGCTACTATAGAACTACGTCTCCTGGCGTTGCTTCACTGCTTTGTGATTAGACCTGTAGGTCAAAGGTTTGGGAAGTGGTCCCCTAGGAAAACCACTTGCTGCGGTTTGGGTACCCGAGAAGTGTTCGGGCCCTTACAAGGATCGAATGATTTGTGTGGAGCATATGTATTTGATGCCTTCTTGTATCAATGTCTATGTTTAAATAAAGAAATAAATAATGAATGGCCAAGTAACCAACTAATGATTTATTCATATAAAAGGAATGAGAACTGTTTATAATGTGTAATTCTGATCTATGATGTCAACCGATTCGGAAATGAAAGTTTATCAATGGCGATATCAGATGAAGATAGTGTTATCTTAAAATGTAGACGATTGGAATGCAATCGAGTAATTTAAAATATCTTGGTCGCCGTGAAGCCTAATGATTATGGGTCTTATATTGTGTAGGGTCGTGGGTTTGATGCTGTTGAGGAATCCCGAACTAGGACAAAACAGCTGCTTAACTCTTAGTGGTTTTCAATGACTCTTCAGTAGGCATTAGTTTAGGAATTCACAAAAAAATCTTTACAAATTACATAACCTATATAATACAGTGTGTTAGATATCACATAATATTTTGACTTATAAAATTAAATTGAAGCTGAAACACGTTGATGAAGACTGTCAAGCAATGTTTTTCACGTAATGATGCAATAGAGTATTAAGAATCACACGGTCAATGCACAACATATTTACGTAACTGTTAAACAGACCAGTGGTCTAAATCCCAAATCATTGAAGACAAGTATTATATTATTGATACAGGTACAACTTATTTGAATAAGTACTCACCAAGAACCATATAGGGTACATCGACAATCCCAACTACACCACGGCACATCATACTTGAATCTTGTTGTGGTCCAATACGTTGGTACATTTTGATTAGACGGGAACAATTATAAACAAACATACCATCACAAGCGCGGTTCATAACATTTACACCAAAATAAAATGTCAGTGTTTTCGGATCCTTGATTGATTTTAGTTTGCGCGTGACAACATTCTGTCGCATCGCTACAGCCCCACGTAGGTCGGCAGCGGTGTTTCGAAGACGACGTATTTGACGCTGAAAGGAAAAAAATATCGTGTTTGATGACCGTTACCATTTTTTGAATTGAATTTTCATAACTATTCTGATAATCCAAGTAACGCATTCATCGAAAAGTGGTTGTTAAATTGATCACTTTTAAAAAAAATTCGAATATGGGTTTTTGATAGATAATTTATCAAAATCGTGAAAGCCAAAAGAATCATTATATCAAATAATCATGTATATTCTGGCTTTCCAGCCGCCGAAGATAGTTGTCAGGCGACTTTATTAACAGCATTATTAACAAAGTACAAATCAGTAGTATGCAATATTATGGAATGAAATATAGGTGAACCTTAAGAATGAATTAACAATTGGGATTTATACCCTCTTATTTATTTATTTATTTGAACAAATATATATGCGCCATACATCATGTTTTGTGTGTGGGCTGAGATACTGCCCAGGTGCTCAGACCGAAGCAGGTGGTTTCTTAGGGGGCCACACCCCGAGCCTTTGACCTAAAGGTCTAACCCACAAGGTAGTGGAGCATCGTGAGGAGATGCAGTCCCATGGTAGCCGGTGACAAAGAAATTGGTTCATACGCCATTTGTTCCCGCAGGACACTGGAGCCCATGTGCACCATTGGTTTGGGATCCGGTTAAAGCGCTAAACTGAATATTCTACAGTGACTTTAAATAAAAATGTGGTTAACAAGTGGTAAAAAAACTTCACTTCTGAATACAGATATAGTTTGACTATTATCTCTATCAGCAACAGTTTGCCATAGCTATATGTAAACAAAATGCAGTTCGAATCACAAAACTTACCAAATGTTCGGGATCCTCAGAACCTTGGTAACGAAGTTCACAATCCCTTGCTTTGCTTTCCGCCTCCTGAGCTCTAAGTTCAGCTTAAACGAGAAGAATAAAGTACAAGCAGAAAAAAGTCATGATACAATAACATCTCATCTTTACCATTTTACTAAACAAATAATATAGTTGGAGAACACTAGTGTTATCATAAAACTTAGTTTAATGCAGAAAAAATCCGTTCACTGGAAAGACTATACCATAAACATATAATTGCTAAGTGTGGTTATCAATATATTATGTATTAAATCACGTCTTTTAGTAAAAGAATCCGTAAACTACTAGAACAAATCTCACCATTTTGAGATGTAGTGGTTGTTGGAGGTAGTGGAAACCACCACCTTACATGCCAACATAGTGAATACGATGTCGAGTCACTCAAACTGGTGGGCACTATGTAACTTAGTCGACAGAATTAGTTCAGTACGAAGGACTTGGCATATGCGACATTGGTCACTATACATAGATCGGCCAATTGTACATACAAGTCTCACCAGTTGTTACAGTATACGGGTGCTGGTGCACATTAAGGGAACTGTGTTAGGAAAATATTCCAGAAGCAAATTGCATTTGTTCATGTTTTTGTGCTTTTTCGACTAAGCCGTTAAATTGATCAACTTTTTATATATCATTGTGAATAGCTATTATGGATTAGGATTTTATGATTGTCAAATGAATACAACGCACCGATCGATTAGTGATTGTTTACGAAACCTCATTTGAACAGATAGAACAAGTGCCCATTATAATTTTTTGATAAAATAACATGCTTATGTACAAAACACTGAACACAAGAATAAACAATTTTAAATATCATAAACGACATCGAATTCATAGACAGCACACTTCAACCAATTAATATCTGAACTTTAGGCTTTCTTCTTGCCCAAACATATCAATACCAAAACAACAATCATTTTGATATTTATTCGATCTGTTGTGGAGCCTATGCTTTTAAAATCACTTGGATGAAAGAGGCGCTTCTTACCTACAGTTCTCAGGTTGAATACAAGTGTCGTTTGCTTTCACAAAAAGATATGTGTTCAATGGAGTAGTTTAACCACAAAATCTCCCCAATCAAGCTACTGATAGCACTTCAGGTAAGATTAATTGATAAGAGATGGAGATATCACAGTTTTCAGTTTTTATACTTGAGAATGTTTCGTTGGAAGTCACTAAAGGGTTGATGTGTTCGAGCTGAAATGTATTAAGTTTTATGGTGCTAAATAAAAATGATTTGGATTAAAAAGACAATATAAAGTTTTATCTAGATTAGAGGAATTATATGGGATAAAGTTTGAATAACGCATGTATGTGTCGGAAATCAAGTCTTATTTCCGAATGCATTTATCACAACTTACCTATTCTCACATCATTTTTAGCTTTTGCTAAATCTGCTTCAGCTCTAGTACGAAAGGTTTTGCTTGCAAAATTATACTTCCTAGTACTATGCAATGTTGCTAGCAGTCGTTTAGTTTGGACTTTTCGTCCTTGTAAATATACTTTCATACGTGGATCGGAATATAAAATTGACACATAAGCTCGAAGACTACGTCTTTCTGGTGGGAGCCTGAAATTGGTGAAAGAGAAAATTTACAATTAAGATATGTATTGTGTACCTGCCTAAGGTTATATAATATACGATTTGAAATGAAACAATATACATTTGGTCAGGAAAGCAAACAAAGACTTGTTAGACAAAAATGCAATCGGTTGATTAATTGGTTTAACTTTTAAATCATATTAGAAACAAGCAGTGAATAAAGTGCAAGATAAAAAAGATTTCAATAGAGAGAAAACTAGTTGATAGTGTGAAAATCCTCATTTTAGCAGTAGCATGAAAAATTTTGATGTTAGAGTAAATGGGAGTATTAGTAACTATTCATTGGTACTAAAATAACATTGAAGTCATCCATAAACTTTTCGAATAGGAAGAAAGCGTGCATCTGTATTGTTGCCATTTGACAAAATAAGAATGTTGAATAGTTTAGGTAAATCAATATCTGCTACTACGAGGCGATGAACTATATAGGTTTTAATTTTATTCGGCATTGTTATATCAAATTAAATCGGTGTTTATATGTCGTGTTTTTCTCTCTGATGTGTAAATGATTAGTTTATGAGGCTGCTAGGCAAGTTATTCAGTCTTTGTCAGATGCTTGGACATTACATAGTATAAACCAAAAAGTTTTATTCCTTGATATTAAGTCTGACTAATTTGTTGGGATTAAGCTTAGAAATCGTTGTCTGAAAGATCTATCAATACATTGATAACTCGATAAAAATAGGAGTATACAAGTGTATCTCTCCACAAGTTGAAACCAACGAGTGAGATAGTTGCCTAATCTACTCACTCGCTTTTAAGTTTTATGTTAATGACATTCGCGAAGCAGCTAGCAAACTATAAACACTGAGTGTTTCTCTTCTGTCTTTATTTATTTTGCTCCTATAGCTTTAAACTTACAATATACCAGACTTATTAAAACCAGTTCTAGTTAATTTAAGACCAGGTACATTTGGGTCAGTTCAAGTTGTCACATCACACATTCTGAGGAAATTAATGAAAAAAACGAGACGTAAGGAAGAGGAGTATAATCTTCAATAGAAATCGAGACAAGAGCAATACAACTGTAAAGAAACGGATGAAATAAGAAATTGCTTTTTTAGAGAGAAGGTAAGCTTGATTTGTCCTTTCTATGAAATTGAAAAGGGATAAAACGTTTTTATGTCCAAATAACGTGTATTTGTCATGTGATGAACCGGATTCTGAAGAGTCCTACAGTTCATTAGTGGGGTACTTAGGTCACGTGTTTTTCTCTACTACTTCATACGTTCTACCTCAGAAATGTATCCTATCTTTTTGGACTATATTCTGGCGCCAAAGATCTCTGAAATACGAGTACAACTATTTGAAAACATAAAAGCCATATTTAGAAGATAGATGTTATCTTTAAATGGACGTTACACCAGCTCTATGATGTGGACGAGTAGTATAGCTCACTGTTTTAAATGTCATACTTGGGTCAAACGATAAAAATGAAGCTTAAGAAGTAATACCCCTACATGTAAGGTTTGAATTCGGAAATTTTAATAATTTTTTCTTAACAATTACACTTATTTCTTTTATTACTTATCAACGGAACGACACCAAAGTTTGAATTCCTGATGTTCAGATTATTGGTAATTACTGAAACTATAATTTCTCCCGGTGAACTTAAGTGTCTATTAAAATCATCAGTAAAATTAATCAGGAAACATGCCAGATTAAACAATCTACACATAACCTCTGAATTATAACTAGTTTAGAAGATTGTACAAACAGAATTCATAGCAACTGAAATGAGAAAACCTTCGAAAGGCAGCAGATGTGAAGAGGGTATTAGATATGTTTGATAGATTTCGTTAGATCATAAAAAATTTGGTCGAGTAAAGTGAGAGGTGATTTTATCTGCCTGAAATTGAACACCGAATGTTTAATACACATCAGGAAAATTTATAACAGTTGCCCCATGTTAGGCAGTTTACAATTTTTTGCCAAAACTATTGTTTCAGAAAACAATATGAGTCTTACTTAAACGCAACCGTTTTCCAGTTATTTTTATGATTTACTCCTATCATAATTTTCCGTTGGAACTATACGCACATAACAATTTTAGAGAATAACAAGAATCCGGGGAGAGTGTTGGGAGAATTCAAATCATGATCAGTTTTTGAGATTTACAGCTAATTTTTACTGTTTGACACCAAAGAGCCTAGTTTTACCCGCTAACTCAGAGACAGACGGTTATCTTATGGGTTGGTACTGCTTTTAGATATAACCACTGAGATCATTTTAAATGACGTCTATATTCTAGTAGACATGCAAGTGGTGGGAATGAAGAAAAGCAAAAACGTAAGGTTATTGCAACCAGTGACATTGTACTGTCTAGATTCTTAGCCACGGGAGTTTACAGTTGTTCAAACGAAAAAACCAAGAAACAATGGCCTCAGTGAGATTAATTCGTGTCTAAAGCTTATTTTACTCGTTTTTATTTTCATAATTCATAAGTTATGAGGAATAGGAAGTTTTAATGTCAGTATCATTAGTAATCAATTCCCAGTGAGAAAATAAAGAAAAAAACATGACAACAGGTGTAACACTGAAACTTACACAGAAAACGTAAATCAAGCACATGAAATCTAAAACTTACCCTCTAATTGTTCAGCAAAAAGGAAAATTAAAAAAGTTCGTGTATAATATTTTCCGCTTGTTAGAAGGAAAAAACAATGACTTAATGGGTAATATGAACGGTTGAGTTTTCATATTATTTACGGTGGAGAGATATCGTTTAGTTGCTTTCAGATGATAAGCAAAAAGTAACAGTGTGTTAACTGATTAGATAGTCCAACTGATATACAAATTTACTTTCGAGAATTTGGAATCTTTATCGTTGATGAGGTTGCATCACACACCTATTAATACTATGACCACAGGAAGTGATAACTACGGTTAACTAAGATGATAAAGTCTATCCCGGCAGCTACATTTGGAAATTTCAATACACGAGTGGTCACACTCTGAGTCACTTTAGATTGAAAACGTAGGTCCTCATAAAATAGACAGGACATAAAGAAGAGAGCTAGCTTTGATACAAAATTACTAATCGAGCTCTAGTGTGATTTAACAAAATCATGAGTCAATGCTAATATCCACTGTTACCAACGCCTCTTAGAACACAACACTAAGTACGTGTAACCCATATCTAAACTTGATTTGTTGACGCCTCCAAAAATGAAAACCTAGTGCAAATTAGTACGCAAGTATAATGGTTGGGGTTGGCATACCATTTTAACACGATTGAAAATGAGTGGAAGGAAATGGTATACAAGAAGCGTTAATTGCTGACAGGGATAAAAACCAGGGAATTATAATACCAGTATTTTAGAGACACATTGTTAGTTCCCTTCAAATAAATTTGGGTCCTGAGAATGTACAGCCAGAACGATCAGACTGTTTGCATTTATTAGACATTTTCAAGCCTTACCTAGCATTAATTGGCAGTCCGTATATCAGGTTACGCTTTGACTGGTCAAACAACCGAATGATCATTTGTAAAATATAAGTTGTTAAGAAGAGAAAAAGAATATTCTACTTACATAACCTCAGCATCAGGTTCAACGGTTTCTTCTTGTTCTGGTCCCGGACTAAGTAGAATGTCACGTGGGTTCGTAGTGACATCCAATTCAGGTCCTCCATGATCAAGAAGTTTCATGTTATATATAATCACAACGGTTCCTGAACTCTCTTTAAGTTTATCGAACTGTGCATAGAAATCTTTTAGGCAGCGGAATGGTGAGTACTTCAGGATTAAATGCATTTCGAGGTCATGCTAAGGAAAAATTATGAACAAAACAAACCTACTTTTTTCTTATCCTCGGGAGTCTCTGCGATAGGGGTCTTTTCAGGACCTCTGAAAGAGGGCATCGGGACAACTACCTACAAGACATGAATATTAAGAGTCAAAGTATAACCTCATCAAGTTTTTCTTCTTCATGAAAAGTCCTTGATAAGAATAGACAGGTGTAAATACCATCCTTTTTAGTAAACAAAACCAAGTCGTTTCCAATGCGCATAGAACCGCTATAAAAGATAGTAGGATAATTACTATTATCAAACCTACGATTTCAAGCCGTTACCATACATACCAATAGCAGCAGTATCCTCACACTTCTTTAAAGACTTCCCGAAAATTATGACATTTTTCACATCATCTTAAGCTGATAAACAAAATAATTGTACTAACCTGGTGTCATACCGCAGCCGTTGTCTGCAAAGCAGAGAAGAAAGTTACCACGCACAGAGCTGTCTTTAACTGCAATTTTACTAATAAGAAGACTCAAAGCTCACTTGTGAATATGTCCAACTCTGTCGCTCCAGCATCACGTGCATTATCAATAAGTTCCGCAATAGCACCGAAAAGGAATTCATGTGTCGTTCTAAAAATAAATCCAGTTATTTCGAGATGAAATTACGAGTTGGTATGGAGATAGTCATAGCTGAGCTGAGCACGATTTAGTTGAGAATATGTCTCCATAAGACAGTCCTACAATTAAATGGTGTTAATTCTAGGAGTTGTCAACAGACAACAAACGACAACGTTAGGCAATAACATACCTCAAGACCAAAAACGTTCGATAAGGACGCCAAATTTTCGAAGACTAGCTAAAACAAAATCCCTTCTCTAATGATGATTTTGGTTTTATAGCCAAATGGTTAGCATTAGCGAATATTTTATTTAGTGAAACTGATGATATGTTGATAATTCGACCTTCAGAAGCTACGAAACGAGGTCAAAGGACTACACAAATTTTCGTGATTCCCAGAACTGTATTTTACCTATCACTCTTGAGCATGCTGGCCTTAAAATTCGGGTCATTTCAACCTCAACTTTCATAAAGAACCAAAGAGTCATTTTACAGCTGAGTTTTTATTTTTGAACCTCCTCAAAAATATTAAAGACATCGGATCGTTGTTTGGATTCATATTTTCGGTGTTATGTATTAGGTATAAAATTTAAATGAAAAACTGGGGGGCTTTTGGGGACTGGTGCTCCATGGTTGTCGTGATTCTTGCTTCAAGGATTAAGCTGACCATGAGATTCTAAAAATTGGTAACCTATGAGTTTGTTCCAATAACCAGTTAATAAGGTGACTGAACGTGACAGAGCTGGGTAAAATTACTTTAAATGAAGTTTACTGCGGTTAGTCACAGAGTTCCCTTTCAAACAAGCTCATAATCACATCCTCACAATTTTTTAATCCCTTCTGGGTCGTTTATGTTTAATAAAAATTTAAAGTGGAATTCCCCCCTCTATATGCTCCACTGGTTACAATTAAACAAGTTGCCCTAAACCCCGTTCTTCGCGAAATTGGGAGACTTGATGAGGGTGAAACGTATAAATCCGTATAGTACTTTGTTAGTCTTAAGGGTTACTGCTAAGGCATGGAAACCACGATTATTTCATTCCGTCGTATTCACAGAATCTCAATTGTCCACCGTATTGTAGTGACTCACATTTATCACGAGAACACAACTGGTTTATAGAAACAATTATTCTTATAACCAACTGTACCAGTGCTTGTTTTAATGTGCTTTTGTTTGACTGTGCTAATGACAGCTATTTTGTGCTTCCATTCTTATACTTACACTTCGATTGTAACTTCGCGCGAATTCGGTTACCTTCTGTAACCAAGGTTGTATCCTGGCACGATCTCGGTATCCTTTCGATGCCACGAGATCGCCAGCAAATATACACCTCGACTTGGTCCATTAACTGCCTTCTGATATTTGGCTTCTCGGAGATTTTATGGATCTATTTGGTTACGTCCAACCCTCGCCTTCTGATTTATCTGGCACGTGTTTCTTGGTAGCGGTGTTCATAGTTAGTCACAACTCGACGCCACGCTACAGTATCATTTAATATTCCGAAGAAAATTCTTTAATTTTATATCCTATATAACTCTATATAATTTCTGCCGATATATTTTGATTTTGGTTGTTTTACATTTTTGTATATATTTCCTCTCTTGTCGTGATAATACACTTGTGAACCAATTATAATGAAAACCTACGTATCTTTCACAACCTATCCTGTTTTACTCCGTGAATATTACAGTGAATATACAGTGATTCCGATTGCAAGACGCTCTGGCATGTTTGTGGTCGAGTGTGAGAAAGTCACTTCATCATCACATTATTTATGGCAGCCTTCCCTTGTTTCCCTTTTTCCATGTAACGAGTCTTCCATTGTTCTCTGTATCCACATTATATTTTATCTGCCTTTTGTTTTCTCAATCTTTATTGATATCTTAATAGTTGAGTTCATTAGTCAATTGAAGCTAGACTACCATGAAAAATCTGGAAACATTGGACGGCCATTTCGTTCTGGTATGTGACTCGTCAGCAGTGAGCATCCACAAACCAGCTCGTAGGATTCGAACTCAAAACCCACGGTCTCGCTGAAGTGTGATCAACTCCCTGATATTCTTAGGCGTTTTTGATTGCTGATTTATCTTCATTTTACGTAGTTTTGATTTCTGGTGGTCATATCGACTGATCCTGTTCTTCATAGATGATTACTGATTTGATTGGTCGTATATATTTTTGGGAGACACCTACCTTATAGCAAAGCTTGTCTAGACAGATAGCTGATTGTTCGATTCACAGAGATTTGGATCATTACACTTTATTATTTGTACAAACCAATGTTTCTTTTGTACTTCATTACCCGCTTGTTACGAATTCCAAACACAATACATTCATTTGTGCTCATTCAGTTCTGTCTAGCTTCAGGAATTCTAGCTCGCGCGCTTTTCGAACGGGAAGTTTAGTCCTAACGTGATTTGCATTTATCAAACTTTTGCTGTGTTCTTACGCAACAAAAGTACCATTTCAGTTCTAAAGAATCTATCCTGAGCTATACGTTCGGTAGATTACTTTTTTTGAGTTTCACCATATTTAATAGTTACCTGTGGTTTTGCCTCAGCTTACTATTCGGTTTTTTTTGTTTTTCACGTATAGACTAGTTTCAGTTTATATCACTCGTTTTATCCATTTTTGTCCGTTTTCAGTGTGCTTTTTAGTGTTTTTTAAAGGTCTTAGGCTTTTGCAAGCATCTATAACATAGTTTGCTTCAACACAGTCATGAAAAACTCATGCAAACGTCCGGGATGCCGTTTTGCTGTTACAACTGGCATGCAGTGCGACAACTGCAAAGGTTGGTTCCACGAAGCATGCACAGATCTGACAGCAACTGCTTACAACAGACTCAGCAAGTCAGAGCAAAAGTGGGTGTGTGTCACGTGCAGCACGGACGCTGTAGTCTTGCTGAGTAACATCATTGTCCTACTGACAGGTCTTCGGAACAAGTTGTCAGTTAACTTGGATAACGATAGTAAAAAAACTGGTAGACAAACAAGAGCGTGCGACGGATACAAAAATAGGGATGTCGATAGGTATACCACCGATGGAGCATCCGTCAACACTAATGATGACGTGTCGAGGCTCAGCACCATCATTACGTCGACGGTACTAGACTCCCTAAGCAAACTCGGGTCTCCCAGCTCAGGGTCCCTGAACACAACAGTGGTTCCCAAAAACCCTGTAGGTGATTCGACCCACGTTAAGAGAGCCCAAAAGAACCAGGCATCACCGCCTAAGCCGAGCAACCCAAGTGTTGCTGCACGGAAAATAACTGGTGATTTGGTCGCACAGTCTACCCCCAAGACTGTTCGTCCGGTCAATAAAGAGCCCAAGATTCAAAAACGCACACTGACCTCCAAACAACAAGTTATTAAACCTGAACCCATCGTGAAACCTGGTAAATTAACAACAGTTCGTGACGATTCTCTCATTATCATGAACCTCGTTGACAATCCTGACCTTCCTCTCAGTCTGCAGGACAAAAACGACAGGATGCTCTGGGGTGAATTGAACAAGAAGCTCGAACTTCCTAGAATAGAGCCTTTGACGGTCACCCGGCTCACTCGAGGAAAGGATTCTAAGCATCTAAATCACCCGAGGCTTCTCCGAGTAACACTTAAGAATGCTACCGACGTAGAGGACGTCTTGCTAGCAAGTCACTTGCTGAAATCAGATGGTAACGTAAGAATATTGCCCGACATACCGTACTCTGAGCGCAATATCATACGAAACATCCCTAAAGAATCTCGCGAGAAGTTTTTCCGCGGAAGAAACATAATTGTTCAAGGTATACCGGAAAATGCAGACCCTACTCAATCAAATTCTGACATCAGGGAATGGAAATTCATCAAACAGTCCTTGAGGCTCAAACACATACTGACTCAGCATGTGACGAGACTAGCCAAGAAGGACGGTGATCCTAGACCTCGTCTAATGAAGATAACCTTCCCATCTTCCCACATGGCGGCTGCAGTTCTGGAAGCATTTCGTGCCAATAGACGTCGATTGCCACCTGGAATCCACATGCACCCGGATAGGCCATACGAAGCTAGGACCAAGAACAAAGGCAAGTTGGAGCTGACCATTCCACTTGTGGACTGTCTAAACGATAAAAAAACGTGTAAAGGACAGGGCCTACCACCTCGGCAAACCTCATATAGGTGGGCTACCTGTCCATTCACATAAGGTTCATACAGAAAAACAGGACGAAGCTCACGCGTTCCAAATTGAAAGCATAAACTGCTTATATATGAACGCCGCGAGTCTACCAAACAAACTGGATGAACTACGTGAACTTAGCAACGCTAATAAGGCCCATCTGATAGGAATATCTGAAACCTGGATATCTTCTCAGTTCTCGGACCAAGAGTTAGCATTACCTGGGATGACTTTGTTCCGCAACGACAGAAAAACAGGAATTGGGGGCGGAGTAGCCATATACATAAGCTCTTGCTTGGAGGTGCACCAAGTTCACAACCTCGAGTTTAACAATCTTGAGGAATCCATATGGTGCTCTGTAAGATTGTCTAGTACTTCGAGGTGTCTAGTCGGAGTCATTTACAGGAAGCCAACTGCCGACATCGAGTACGATAGTCGTATGCTGGAAGGACTATCCCGCTCTATCCGTCTCGGTTTCACACACATCCTGATTCTAGGGGACTTTAATCTCCCTAGAGTCAACTTCGCGGAACACACGTACACTGGAGGCGACAACTCAATTGAAGCTCGGTTCTTCAACCTCATCGATGACTTGGGCTTATATGAAAATGTGAGGTCGGCAACTCGTTGGAGAAACAGTCAGACACCATCGCGCTTAGACTGTGTATTCACTAACGAAGAATTCCTAGTCGACAACCTCTCAATCCTGGCTCCTCTGGGAAAGAGCGATCATGCCGTCATAGCCTTCAGTTTTGTCATCAAAACTAAGCTAAGGTATCCCAACAATAATTTGCGTTGGAATTTTAAACGGCTGAATGTGCCAGCTCTACATGACTATCTACAACAGGTGGTTTGGGATGTTCACCCTCAACTCGATGTGGATGGTCATTGGGACTTCTTACTGCACACGCTCTTATGTGCTACAAACCATTCAGTTCCTCAAACGGTTCCCAA